AATAAAGTTTAAGAAGAGCAGCTGTTGGTCCTGTATAAAGATGACAGGAGTATGCTGTAGAGACCAACAACTATCTTCCCTATTGGAAGATGGTAGAGTGCACTGATATATAGGTGCCATATTGGATCGGCACTGATAAAAGGAAAATTAACATGATCGTCTGTTGGCTTTTTTTGGCTGGTGTACCAGAGAATGTAACAACAATTATAACATGCCTTCTGGCTGGGGTCCCCGGACGCTGCATGCATATGTGCAGCAGCAGCATGCACATGGCCAGGAGTGCAGCCAGGCAGTGTGGAGAGCAGCGCACTGTAGATAAGTCTATAGAGGGGAAGGGGCAAGTGGCAGATCAAGGCCCACACGGTGAGGGAGGGAGTGGGTCAGGGGAAGGGGCTGGGTGAGGGCACTGCCCAGTCAGGGCAGTAAATGGGAACTCTGGGGTTGGGGAGGGATGGAGCCATTGGGGGTTTGTCTACGGGGCACAGGGGGTGGGAAGGGGGGTGGCACTCTGCTGCTGTGCACACCCCTGAGGGGAGGCATGCCCCCCCCCCCAGATTTGTGTGTGGGGCAGAGATGGGCTGCCCATTGTGGGCTCGGGGCTCTCTGCAATGCTGCCTTTGTCCCAGGAGCTGCATGCTGGCTGTGTCCCCTGCCTGCCTGCCTGGTGGCAGTGAATTGTGCCTCCTGCTGCCAGATGGGCAGGGGACGACGCATGGCTTCCGGGGCAAAGGCAGCAGGGTGGAGAGCTCATAGCTCACCTCTGCCCTTGCCCCACTTGGCTCTGCTCCTCTTAAGTGTCCTTGCACTTAAAAATGGTGTTGGCGGCACTTGAACTAAAGCTCACTTGACGAGCTTTAGTTAGAGTGCCCCGCCACCATTTTAAAGCACCAGGACACTGATCCCTTGGTTGAGCCACCTGTGGCTTTGTCCTGCTCCCCGCCCCGGGATGCCATTCACCCCCACCCAGCCCCTGCCCCACTCCCTCTCTCACTGTGGGAGCTTTGATCTGTGTCCTCATGCTTCTTTCCTTCCCCCCGCCCCTTCCCCTCCACAGAAATACCTGCAGGGTGCTGCTCTCCATGCTGTGTGGCTGCCTTCCTGTAAGTCGGCTATTGGATTGGTATTTGCTGATATGCCTGGTGGATAACTGGCTATCAGTATTGGCCAAGAAAATCTTTACTGGAGCATCCCTAGAAAATGGGATCTCTGGAATTCAGGAGAGAGATGAGTAGCTGCAATCTATAGCATAATTAAGTTCTGTTTTACGGAATGTTTAAATCAAAACAATTGATAAACCTGAGAGGCTCTCCCTGCTTAACTGAGAGTGCCCTCAACATAGCAACATAGAGCAGAATCGTTGTGTGAATGATATAGTATCCATTATGCTGGTTCCTTGTTTGCTGAATTTTTTGTCCCATTTTAAAAATTTTGTTCTCAGTGATATTACACCAGCCATTAATATGATCCTGGACATTCAAAGCCTAGCAGAGTATGGCTGCAGATGTACATTATCCAAAGTCATATATCCACTTACCTGGCTCTGAGCTCATCACCATCAAGAGGAAGAAAAGGCTACTGGCCAAATATTAATTAATCTAAAATAATTTTCTTCTGATTAATCCTCCTCCTGTCTTACTTCCCTTCTATCTTTTAACTAATAAAACAGGTTCACAATTAAGAGACTTCTTCTACGCTGATGCAGAGTTATGACCAGCCCAAGCACACACCCCTTTCTGCTTGGCCTTGTCCTGAATTCATAAAAAACTGTCATGGGAAATTAAATCCAGTTCAAATTTGGTTGCTATCATACACAACTGAGAACTGAACTGGGAAGTGGCCAAAATTAAGAATTTCAGAAATTGGGTTTTTCAGTGATTTAAAGGAGAGAAAGGGAAAGGCAGATTTAAACCCTTTAATGTTTGCTGTTTTCCTACTATTCTGAATTATTTTTGCACTGTAGGAAGATTCATTATATACCCACCTCCCTGAAATGATTTTAAAGGGTTTTTTTTTTTTTTTTTAAATGAGCAAACCATACCATAATAGCGGTAAGTCACACCAGAGTGTGCATTATTAATAAAGCTATTAGTGCACTTCTCAAGAAGTTGACAGCATGAAGTATGCACCAATAGCCTACTAATTGCACACCATTTTGTGGCTTATTGCTACATTAGCTTTGCCTTGTGCCTTACAGAGCATGTGGCAGTATTCACTATGACACACGCTGTCTTGTCTCAATGCCTCAACAATGAATGTATTGCCAGCTTTATTCATGTGCAGAGACTTCTATAGCAAGAAGGGGGATCTCTGTGATCTAAAAACTGATGGAATGACAGAGAAAGCTGAACAGATAGGTATGAACATACACATTTGAAAGTGAAAAACATTCAAGGCACATTGCACTGGTGACTGGACACATTTAAAAAGGCATCTGTTTACATTCATTAGAGCAAATGGTCTTGTACATGCTTTGTTTCTTTAAGATGTGTAAGAAAGGAGGAGGAATTTTTATCTAGCCTCTGAAATACATGAAAGCCTTCAAATTGTTATTCATGTGACCCACTAACAACACTGTCTATCTCTCAGGAGAGGCATACGCAACAAGCACATGCCCTGATATTTCTTTCACTCTGCTTACCCACCACAGTATTCAAGCCATATTGTATCCAGTTTTATTTTAAAAAGTTTGTTTCATAAATCAGTCACAGTAATTCAGGTAGGAAATGGGTTAATCTTCCCTCCCACATGGGCTATACTTTTTCTCATTTAAATGACATTTGGAGGTGTTGAAGGTGCTTTACACATCTTTATTTCATAATAGAAAAGGAAGGTATTAGGAAGGGTTGACATTTATGCATTTAGCATGGATTTTTGTTTCCTATAAATCAGGGCTGCTGCATCTCTTTCAGAAAGAACTTGGAATGCTGTATATTATAATGGCTTCCATAGGAAAAACTGGGAAAACCTAGTATACTGCTGTGATTTGAAAATTAAAAGGGAAAAGGACAGGCACTTAGAAAAGATAATGGAGCTTCCACAGAAAAATGGAGAGGTAGGAGAAAAAAATATGGGTTGGAAAACCAAGATTCAAATCCCCAAAACAATTAACAGGATTGGCTGCAAGGAGGTATTCTGGTGGTTTAAAAATACCAAAAATAATTTGATTTTTTCCAACTCTCAGAGGGTGTAGGGATTTGTATAATATGATTTCAAACTGCTAATCAGATACAGAACTGCAAATTCAGAATTAAACTGTAGTCCTGTATGGAGAAAGATGGTTATAACAACTGCAAGGTTTATATTTAGTGAATAAAAGTTACTTTATTTTAAGAATATGTTATTATATAGTCTCTAGCTGAACATCCATTTGTACATAATGAATTTGCAAAAAATAAATTGAATTGGGTCACTACAAAGGCAGTAGGGACTTATGGGGGGGATAAGTAACATAATATTGTACTTTTCACATCAAAGTCCCCAGTTAAAATCCAGTCTAGGCAGGTAGTAACTGAACAATATTGCCAACTGTTTCTGGTCATGAGAAATCAGATGGTAGAATTAGTCCATTACATGTAAAAACATCTCCCGGAAACCGAATCACTGTTTGCAACGTAGAAGCCATACATGCAATGGACCATGCAGACAAAACTTTCCCCTTCTCTCGGCCAAAGGCAGCCCTTCCAGATCAGTGGTGATGCATGTTTGCAGGGGGCAGAGCTGGGGGGGAGATACACTATGTATATAACACAACTCGTTATAGCAGTGTATTTGTCAATGTCTTCAACTTCTGGGTACTCATCATTTGGGCTGTGTTATGTCAGCATATCTTTTTCCTTAAGTCCCTGTGGAATCAATGTTATAACCAACTAATGAGGTAAAGTTAGCTGGTGTTGGAACTATAATTCTGTAATTTAGGGAAGCCGGTTCTCTGGAGCTGGACAGCTGGATGGGCACATAAGGCAAGTTACTTCTCTCTGCCTTTCTTCATCTTTGATAGCAAATCCAGTGGCCAGATTCCCCTTGCCTCTATGTACATTCAGGACTGGTTCATCCGGAGCACAACAGTTGAAACTCCTGATGCATATTGCTAAAAGTCTGCAACAGGGATGAAGAGGTGGTGTCACACAGCTCCCTCTTATAAGACTTAGGGAACATGACCTGTACATAGTGAGTTCAGATAGTTGAGGTGAGGGGAAGCTGTCTCTTCAGTTGTTTTGTCAACGTGAAATTGATGTACCTCATTCAGCCACATTCAGCTATTTCAATCTGAAGGATTAACACGGTGTCATGGGTAGCAGACAAACAACAAATAATCTTTAAAATAAGATAGAAAAATGTCAAGAGAAGTTCAGTTGTTGGAAGGGCAGTAAAAGAGATGAGTGGGCACACTGAGAGACCAATGGTTCATGTAACTTTAGATATCTTCAACTTACAAATCAAGGTTCAGGCATAAAGCTTTTCACAGACAAAGGTCTCGTTCCTTGCTGTATTTTTCAGAACGTTAGCAGTTTGTTTATAAAAAGCAATGATGCTATTAGTTACAAATCTTTAACAGAACGACTGCAAAAATCTTTACATTATCTTATCCAAGTACAAGTTATCACTGTAAAGAAAGATCTGAAATCTCCAGGAGGTATACAGTGGGGGAAGGGTAGGGAAGAAGAGAAAAAATTAATAGCTAGATTGATTTCCTAGACAGCTAATTAGATTTGTGCACCTAGGCAGATACATTCTGTAATAGAAAAGAACAAGCACATTAATGTTATTGTTTAATCACTTGAGTTCTGGTTAGAGTTGTGAGTTGCACTAATATTTTATGTTATTTTAATAGATAGCTCTTGTCCCATATATCTCTATAAGGATATTCCGCCTTAATTCAATTCTCTTTTGGTTATGTGTTTAGATCAAACCACTTTAGGATCTATATTCAAGACCACTCACACAGCCATAATAAAGTCTTTTTTTATTCTCTTGAAACTCATAACACAAGACAGTATTAATTGAGCTAAATTATTTCTTTATTAGGAAAGCACCAACACCACATTCTTCAAAATTACTGGAATTTTATTTGCCTCAGGCTTATGACTTGCAACCAAAGACATTGTGCAAAGAAAGCAAAGATTAAGTACACTTTAGGGAAAAGGTGATAATCCACATTGGTAACATAGAAGATCAGTCTGATGAAAGAAGCCATCCATTACACTATATAGATTGCAATATTCAATAGCATTTTTCAACCCAACTTTTTTAAATCAAGAGGAAAAAAATTAAGCAAAGTTTACAGTAGACATAAATTTGATACAATTTGAAAAGCATTTTTTTTCTGAAGATCATCAAGCATAAAGTGGAAAAATGCGTATGGGACAGGGTGGGGTGGAGGCTAACTACTGTACATTTATAAGCTATTAAACAAATTGCATATATGTACCACAGTGTAAAAAACAATACAGAACAAATAAAAACTTTGAAAATTGCCTGATGAAAAATAAAATAACCAGCGGCTTTTAATGGCTTCTCCTGGTTATCAATGCTACAAAAGACATTTTTTGTCTTTCTGATGCCATTCAAAAACATCTCATCAAACGATAAAACCAGGCACAATCAACCCATTAACCAAGCTAAACCCAACCCATAGAAATATACTATCAACCCACATTTTTCCATCAAAAGCTTTTTTTTTTCTTTTTTTTTAAATCTTTGAGGCCCATTTGGTCACAATATGTTACAAATTTTTCTTTTTTCCTTTTTTACACCATGATATCATATGTTTGTCTGGCACTATCCTAAAGCTAGTTTATAGAGGATGAGAATACAGAAACAACCCAATGTCTATCAACAAAATGAATTTACTGGGTGTAAAATGAGAGAAGGAAGGGGGGAAGGGGTTCAGTTCTGCCAAGAAAATAAACCCTATGGATCACTCATCATCACTTCCACTTGCTTCCGACTGGTCCTAGAGGTAAGAGACACAAAAAAAGGTCAGCTATTCTTTGCCAGCTATTCTTTGAATTTTTGTTTAAAAAGTTAAATTGAGAAATCAAAGTTGCTTTAGGAAAAGTACTACACTATTTATACTTCTGCTTCATGACATTTTATGCTTATTATTGTGAGCCTCTTTAGAGAAAGAAGAGAAAAGCACAGTGGCGGGAAACACTATTCTCTACCTGCCCAAATATTTTGTTAAAAATGATGGAAAAATTGCCTTAGTCTTTTTTCACACATAAAATATTGACAGTACATTCAGACTACTTAATATCTGGGATGGGATGAAACAGGATGGGAGGGTGTGAAGATGAAAGTGGGCAAATCTCATATCTCATTGTTGAATATTAAAAGGCCAAAGGAAAACATGAACACTGGGGGGAAAAAAAGCCCAACGCTGCCTGTGACAGGCATTTTCATTCCTCTAGTATTAACGGCTATGTCCAAAGCTTGATTAAAGGAAAGTTTGGAATGGGAAAAGCCTTTTAAAAAACGTATTCCTGACTTGTATCTATTAGAGTCAATCCAGGAACCCCACTTCTTTGCAAGATTCACAACAAAGTTCTTCCTTCTATTTGGGGATTTGTATAACAGTAAGTTATTTTTATATATATATTTTAAGTCTTTTTAGACTTTTGCCAGATCCTTCTTAAAAACAAAGTTTGATGCATTAAACCCCTCCTCAAGAAGATCAACATAGTTTTTAAGTTTTGCTTTGTGTCTCCATGCAGAAAGAAGTGAAAGTTGTGATTATGAGTAGAATGGGGAAGAGAAGAAATAGCTGCAACCATTTCCACTGCTTCAGTGAGTAAAACTTACATTTTCATCTTGATCCTCATCACTGTCATCATCACTCACGACAGGCTTTGCTTTTACCCGACTTTGCCGCTTCTTGCCTTTCCCTTTGTCTCGGATTTTTTCATCCTTCTTATTCAGCTTGATTTTGACTTTCACAGATTTTGCTGCAAAAAGGTGCAAAAGTTGAGATGCAATTACCAGCTGTGATTATTTGATTATTTTCTTCTATCCCTTTCTCAACTGGGGTGGAGGGAGAGATGGAGGAGGAGAAATTGGTTGTCAGCCACCATATCTCAACTTCTTAACACAGTCTCTGTATTCAGGCACAATCTCCTTTTGTAACAATCTGAAAAGATCCCCCCTCTCCTTCTTATGGTGATTTTGGAACAATTACATGGAGATACTTGCTTCTACTCATATTATCCAAGACAGTTTAATAAAAATTACTGATTGAGCTATCAAGAAAATCTTTGAGTTGATTAGCTTAATCCTTGCTGTGCAAATTAGAATGAGTGGTTGCCTGCGGGCAGTATTTGGTGCTTGGATTTCACTCTGAGAACCTGTATACAACAGAATGCATCATAAAAACACTTTTTCTATGGTCTGTGGATAGAAAAGGTCTATCTTTAGTAGCAACCGGCAACAAAAAGGTTGTAAATTATATAAACAACACGAAGCTTAACACCAAACTTCAGGGATTTGGGTTTCTCAGTAGAGCAGGGGTCAACAACGAGTTTCTGGATCTGCCCCATGCTGTTGTGCCTTTGGTGGCATTCATGGGTGGGGGGCTCTCCCTGTGCCACACTGCAGTCAGCCATCTGGGCCTCCACTGGAGGGGGAGCTCTGTCCCTGCCTTGCCAAATCAGGCAGCACCAGTTCCTGTGGATAGGAAAAGTGGTGGGAGAAGCCATGTCCTAGTGCCTGCCTACCTCCAAACAAAGCTGGGTCATTCTGCACCCCCTGCAGCAAAAAGTTGCAGAACAGCACTAGAGTCTGATTCCAAAATATAGTTTCCAAAGTAACACCTGAAGTTGTATGGCATCTTATATCTTGGGAAAAAACAGTCTGCTTCTCATACCTGGAGAGTGGCTTAGGGCAAGATACTTTGGGTAGTGTATGCCAGTCATGCTCTCTGACTGAGAGCTTACACTCTGTCCTTGGCAGACATAGGATACTACTGGGCAGAAGTGTTCAGGTTTCAAAAAGGAGGACTGTGGACAGAGGAAAAGAATACTTTCTTTTCTGTAATATCATGCCCTGAAGTCTGCAGGACTTCAGGCCTGGTTTAATGGTGATCGTGTGCAACTGCTGGGGAGTTTATGTTGGAAGAAGTCTCTAGAGGGCCTGGGAAATTGGGATACAGTACCTAGAGAAGGATTGCAAGGGTAACGTTGGCTTTATTTCTGGACATCAGAGGATAGTAGTAGCTGAACATTATGGCTGGTTCTGTGGGGAGGCAGGGATCTGGCAGTTTAAAATTAAAACTGTAAGACATTTTCTACCAGTGCCAATAATTAAGCACCAGGAGAATCATCCCAAGGAGGTGGAGTATCTCTTCTTTAAAGACATACTCTAGCTCAACTAAGTCACTAAGTCAAATTCACCTGGAATACTGTATCCAGTTTTGGTTTCCACACTTCAAAATGCATGTGGAAAATGTAGAAAGAATCCAGTTCAGAACAACAAAAAAGATTAGGGGCCTGAGAGACAAGGCTTATAAGGAAAGGCTGAAAAAATTAGAGTTGTTTAGTTTGAAGATGAGAAGACTGAGGGGGGAAATAGTCTTCAGTTACCCAAAGGGCTATTACAGACTACCTAGAAAAATTTGAGGAATCTCTGGCTGCCTATATATATGCTCGTTCATGTTCTAATTAATTGAGTTTGCTCTGTGTTCTAATTAGGATGCTCCAGCATCGCCTCACTATTAGGTGTATGAAGTCCCCACACCTTTTGAAATGGCTCTGGGGGCACTTTATTTAAACCACATTGAATGAGGTGTCCCACGACCATTTCTAAATGCTCAGGGACTTACTACGTGGGATGGTGAGGCATTTTAATTAGAGCGACTTTCCAGGAACTGCTTTAATTAAAATGCCCCCCTGGCACGTGTATAGGCAGCCTCCATCTTCGGAAGTTTTCAAGAGCAGGTTAGATAGACACTTGGCTGTTAGGGATAATCCTGCCTTGAGCAGAGGGCTGGACTAGATAACCATGTGACCTATAATCCTAAACAATACAGGGTTTGATGCCTGATCCACTGACTGGTTCCAAAATGATACCTTTTATTAGACCAACTCGAAAATGGCAAGAAAATTGTCCTTTTCTGCAAGCTTGCGGGATCAAAGTCCCTTCGTCAGGCTCTGGGAAAAGTGTAGATGGTACAAGATGGTAAAAAGTCCCTATAGGTAAGAAATAAACTTCATTTTTGCACAGAGGGAGCTGAAGATGGAAGTCTGTCCCTCTGCATCCATGAGAGTGTCTTTGTGAGCTGTGTTGAGTAGCTCTTTGATGTGTTCAGGTAGAATTCCTTCCTTGCAGAAAAGGACAATTTTCTTTCCATTTTCCAGTTGGTCTAATAAAAGGTATAATTTTGGAACCAAGAGTTCTAGTTTTTTGTACGTCTTTTTGTCTCAGACCAACACGGCTACCAAGTACATCCCTGATTCACTGATTGACATTTTCTGTTACACAAGTGATCATGTTGGATAATCATGACCCTTTCTTTCTTTATCATTTACATTTCTTTCTTTATCATCTTCTGTAAAAGAACTGGTTACTGTTAAAATTGAATGGTAAAGTGAGCAGAGTAGTTACTGGAGGATAAGTCTTGTCACTTGGAAGTCATCTGAAGATACTTCCTTTGAAAGATTCAATTCTGTTCTGGGTCTTCCAAAAGAAGGTCTGGCAAATCACAACACCAGGAGCTTATGTTTACAATCAGTAAGGAAAAGAGGAGTGCCAAAGAAATATGATAAGGTGGCTAGTTGGAGACAAGCAAGTTCACTGCATCAGCAATTTCCATTAAGGTAGATACCAAAAAAGGAAACGTTATGGGTTCAGGTTTGGAAATACTTGAAGTCTTTGGCACAGTTCAAGGAGACACAGCCAGAACAGAGCAGCTAAGAGTAAGTCAGGACTCAGACCACAAATATAGCAAATTTGATAACAAACTGCTTCTATTAAATCATCAGAAGACCGGAATGGAAATACTAAGTGGACAAACTGATTATCCAAGGAAACCTACTTGCCTCTTACGTTCTGACTTACATTCTGACTCTGATTCATCCTCATCCTCATCTTCTTCATCATCATTGCTTTCATCTTCACTCTCATCCTCTTTGGCAATCTTCTGTCGTGCACTCTTGAACACAGATTGGAGAACAATGGAATCCTCATAGATCTGGATCATGAAAGCAAATCTATGTCAGAACTGCTAATCAAGCTCCATCAAAAATTCACAGCATGGAACACTATTTTCTATGGAGCCCCACAGAGTATATGGCCTTTTTTCATTACAAGTAACAACCCTTGCTGCATGAATTTTACAAGAAATGCCAACATTATTTTTTCATGCTCTAAATGAAGAAACCTACTGACAATGTGCCACAAGTGTAACTCTTATTATGTTATTACTTTTAAAAATGAAATAACAGGGAAAAATCCCTCCTAGAATGCAATGGTTTTTCTTAATATATAATTTTCATTACCAACGTAATTGTAGTATATTTCCATTAGATCATAACTATCTTGGGAAAGCATTCAGAATGAGTCTTCAATAGCAAGTTCCCTAATTAAAATCTGGATTATAGTCTCACAATATATTTAATAGTGACAAATGTACTACTCCAGTGCTAATTATCTTTAATTGTTAAGAAGTCCAAGCTGGCTAATAAAAAAATATCTATGCCAAGCAGCTTACTCCTTCGTAGTAGATATAAAAAGAATAAAAAAAAGTCCATGCTCATTCATAAAAGCTTTCCCTATTAACATTTCTCAGACTGCTAAGTATCTTTTGCTGAAGAGCATCTATGAAAGAAAGGATTGCGTCTTGCAAGTAATATAATATTTTTAGATTACAGCAACAGAAATATCAATATAAAAGACTTGCAGAAGAATTGAAAATTTACCATGGTCTTCACAAATCAGCTTGTGTACACTGCTCTACAGAACTTGAAAGTGATGTTCTAGACAAGTTTTTTTTTGTTTTTTTTTTTAAACAGACACTTGAATTCTTCAGTTTGCTCAAAGGCACTACAGACGCACAAATAAATTAATTTTTGTTAACTTTAGTTAGAATTAACACAAGATTATATAGTTGAAGAAATGTATTATGGAAAATACTATTAATGAATCTGAGAGCCGTGGCCCTCAAGAGGGAGAGAGAGCACATGCGCATAGAACTTTTACTGTTCACGAATGGCATCATAATACAAAGGATCACCAAAGCTACTTGAATGTTTAATGGATTCTGATGTTACCCGGTGGGAACAACAGAATCTATTACACACACGAAAAAGAGAAAATTTGCTTTGTTTAGAAAAACACCTACTCCCTTTAAGCAAAATTCTGAATCCACAGAACTCAATAGAAAAAACTTCTAGGAAGAGTTCCTAGATCATGGGATGGCAACCTACAGCCTGTGGGACCTAATCTGACTTTCTGGGCCTTCAGATCTAGAGTGTAGTGTTGTGTCTTTGGCAGCATTCAGCCCCATTTCCATGAGCTGTGCTGCAGTCAGACACCTGAGGCTGTAGTGGAGAGGGAGCTCTGCCTGTGTTGTGCCGCAGGTGGGCAGCACAGGATCCAGTAGATGATGCCTTTTGCCATGCTGCACTACAAGCAGGAAGAAGTGGGGGCAGTGGCTGGGTTCTAATGCCCACACTCCTCCAAACTGAGCTGGATCATTCCAGCCCTCCTGATGAAAAACATCGCCAATGCCTATTCTAGATAAGGGCAGATGACATCTAGTCTGACGTCCTGTATAACACAACCACAGTCCTTCCCTGAATTAATTACTGTTTGGACTCATGCATCTTTCTTGTAGAAAAAAGTCCAATTTTATTTTAAAGATTTCTAGTGAGGGAAAATCCATGGCAAGTTTTGGTAAGTTGTTCAAATGGTTAATTGCCCTTGGTGTTGAAAACTACTTCTAGCTTCAATTTATGGTCACTAGATCTGGTTGGACCTTGTCTGCTAGACAGAAGATGCCCTTTTCTATGCTATAAGGATAGCATTGCACCTTTTGGCTACAGCATCACAAAATCTTCTATTTAACTGATTATTCATCATGATCCCCCAAGTTCTTTACAGAGTAACTTCTCCCAAGCACTAAATCTTTCAATTTTTGTAGGCATGGCCCACAATCACTGTTTCTAGCTATGTGACTTAAAATGCTTGCTTGTGTACACCTCATTTACCTAGTGATCCAGGATGCTTTGTAACAGTGGACCTATATATTTCATTATTTACCACTCGCCCAGAGCTTTGTGTGACCTGAAACTTTGTCTTTCTTTTGTGTTTTCTTCCAGGTTACAGACAAAATTTGAAAGAATGTTTGGTCAAGAACAGGTCCCTAGGTGATCCCACTGGAAACATAACTGCTCAATGATCATTCTCAGTTTACAAGTATATCTGAAGACTTATGTCTTTGCCAATTTTAAAGTATTTAATTTGTATTGCTCTAGTTTCATAATTGCAATGTTGCATGGTTCCAAGTCAAATACCTTACAGAATTCACTCACATCAAAACCATTACATTACCAAGTACTAATCTCAAAGAAAGTTAAAACTGTTTTGACAAGTTTTAGCTTTCATAAACCCACACTGATTGACATCAATTTTATTATCCTCTTTCAATTCTTAACTAAAACAATCCTTTGTCAGCTATTTCTTTATTTTGCTTAGGACTGCTGTCTGAATGACAGGCCTATAATTACACAGGTGGTCCTCTTTACTTCTTTAAAATATTGACACAACATTAGCCCCTCTGGAACTTTTCAGCATGCCAAGATTTTATCGAGGATCAAATTAGTGTTTCAGACAGTTCCTTGGCCAGCTTCTAAATTTCTCGGGTGCAAGTTACTGCATCTTCTGATTTAAAACATCAAAACTAATTTTATTAAAGTTTACTGCTATTAAAAATCATCTTTAGTTATTGGAGGAATGGGAAACATCTTATTCAGATAGGGCATTAATACATCAACTTTTTCCCCCCAAATGTAAAACAGAAAAAAAATGATTGAATACTTTTGGATTTTCTACATTATTACTGACAATTCTACTGTCTTCACCCTAGTAGGAATAGTTTAGAAGCCCTTTTAGTCTTACTGTCTTTCACTCTATTAGCCATTTATTTCTGCATCTTTTTTCTTCCCTTATCAATTTTTTACTATTACTATCTTCAGATTTAAAATTTTGCTAACAAAGAGAAAACAAAAAAGACAAGTTGATATCTATATGTATAAATATCATAGACATCAAAGTGAAGTAGGATTCAAAGGGAGCTCCAGATGTCATCTAGTCTATCCCCCTGCCTGAGGCAGGATCATCCCTATTGAATTCATCCTATACATAATCTGAAGTCTTCATAAGACTACCACCACCCCTGACACAACACAAGACATAAAATCCTAACTTGCCACAGGTAAAGCATGGAAACCATAGCAGCCAACATCCTTCTTCTTTAAAAGGTTGTTAATATACGTTCGAGATATTCCAGGTAGAGGGCCACGGCCCCCCTACAGAGGAAGGCAACCCCCCACAGTCTATACCAATCTGACCATGGGGTAAAATTCCTTTCTGACCACAAATATGGCAACTGGTCTGGCCTTGATTGGAGGGGCAAGACTCCCTAGCCAGGAACCTCCTGTTGTGCTGCCAGAAGGAGTACAGGCACACCCCAGTCAAAATACCCAGTCCCTCTGAGGGAGGCTTAAAAACACCCAGACACATGTAGCAAAAAGGGGGTGGGGCCAACCAGCAAAGCTCAGAAGCATGGGGAATACCCAGTAGAAGACGGGTATATAGCATTCTTGACCAGTGCCTGTCCAGTCTTTTCTTGAATGACTCCCGTGATGGAGAATCCAGAACTTCCCTAGGCAGTCTATTCCATTGCCTCGCTATTCTAACAATGAAGAAGTGTTTTCTGATAGCCAACCTAAGCCTTCTTTGTTCCAACTTTAAGCCATTGGTTCACATCCTGGTTTCTGGAGCAAGACAGAAAAGGTATTTTCCATCTTCTTTATTGCAGCCCTTCAAATCTTTGAAGACTGTTATCATGTCCCTTCTGTTCCACAACCAAAACATGCTTAGCTTCTTCAGCATCTCCATGTATGACTTGATTTCCAAGCCCTTTATCACCCTTGTTGCCCCACCTCTGGACTCTAACTTCTCCACATCTTTTTAAAAATGTAGAACCTAGAACTGCACAAAATACTCTAGATGAGGCCTAGCCAGTGCTGAGTACAGAAGCACTATCACCTCCTGCATCTTGCACCTAATGTTTGTATTGATACATCCAAAAAAACTGCATTTGCCTTTCATGTCACTGCATCAAATTGATCTTGAGTCTGTGATCTACTAAGACTCCTAGATCCTTCTCCATAGCGCTGCCATCCAAACAGGTATCATCCATTTTACATGTTGAACAGCACCAGGCCCAGGACATACCCCTGTGGGACTCCACTTGAAACCTCCTACCATTCTGACATGGATCCACTAATAACTACCCTTTTCTTGTGGCTACTGAGGCAGTTGCCTATCCTTCTTATAGTACTTTGTCCAGTCCATGTTTTTTCAATGTGTTTATGAGAAGGTCATGTAGGACTTGTGAAAAGCCTTGCTAAAATCCAGATATTTTATATCTACAGCATTCCCTTCATCTACCCAAGCAATTATTTTGTCAAAGAAGGAGATCATGTTTATTTGACATAAATCCATGCTGGCTGCTTCTGATCAGTCTTTTCTCCTCCAGATGTTTGAAAATGGCCTTCCTTAGACTATGCTCCAATAGCTTCCTGGATATTGAGGTGAGGCTAACTGGTCTGTGGTTCTCCGGGTCCTCCTTTTTGCCTTTTTTTGAAGAGGGGCACTTTCCAGTCCTCTGGTATCTGGATGCTTCCAATGACTTTATGAAGACCATTGCCAAGGGCTCCAAAATCAGCATACTTATAGAACCTCTTCTTGTTGTCCTTAACCTCTTTCACCAGATGCAGCTTATTCTTTATCTTTGCCTTCATGATATTGTCCCTGCAATTTCTTGCTATTTCCTGGTATGCTTCCTTAGTGACCTATCCATTCTTCCACTGCCTGTATGCTTTCCTTTTGCATTTGAGGCATCCTAGAACAGGGGTAGGCAATTGTTTCATCTGGAAAGCCACTTAACTCATTTTGGTGAGCTGTCAAGGGTCACACACAACATTTTTCAGAAGATATCATTTTAACAAATTATAGTTAAAAATAAATCATATACTAAAAATCAAATATCTACTATAACATATTTTAATTTTATTTAAAAACAATGTTTGTCCTGATTTGTTTTTTGAGTAGTGTACAGAGGTAATTGTAGTAATTGTATAATAGCTCAAAATAAAGTCTTAGTCCTATATATTGCGTGTGAGGGGATGCATGTGGGACGTGTGTGGGAGGGGTGGCAGGGTGTGGAGGGGGGCTATGGGGAGTATGTGTGGGGGGCTGCCTACACATGAGGTGCCAGGAACTGGTGAAGGACACGGGAAGGAAAGGAGCGGGGGTAGAGGTTACATGCAGCGATGGTCACTTGGGTAGTGCAGTGCAGGTGCAGTCTGTGCCTCCCCCATCTGGCTCATGGCTGCCCCCACAGTGCTCTGCATGGGGCTGAGCCTCACCCACTCCCATCTGGGGCAGCCTGCACTGCACTCCTGTCCATGCCAGCCAGATGGTCCCAGCTCCAGCCAATGTGCACAGCTTCCTGGCAGGGCTGCTCCACGTGAGGCTGCAGCTGCCTGGGTACTGCTCAGCTCCCCTCACACACCTACAGTGGCTCCTCCTCCTCCTGCCCCTGCTGCACTGTTCCAGGCAAAGGGAAAGCTGCAGCCAGGCAGCTCCTGCCCCAGTGCACAGGGCTCCAGCTCCAGGCTGTTTTACACCCACTCGGCTGTCCACAGGTGGCTGCTTATCATGCCAGGTGAGCAGAGCGGGTGGAAGGCAGCTGGGAGCTGGAGCCCTGAGCACGTAGTCGATCCCACTGACTGGGATGGGGGGTGGGGAGGCGGGTGTTCCCTACAGCTGATTGTGAGACAGCCAATCACTGGCCACTTCTGGGAGCGAAACAGCGCTCCACTTCCCAGCTGGCACTTGCAGGGAGGACACCGACACTCCTGACTGCCCCCTCTGCCCATCACCTAAGCGGTGAGCGTGGCCGGTCGGGGGTGCACAGGCGCTCTCAGGGGGTGCACGTGCACACCCTAAGTGTCACCACTGAGGCAAGCAGTACCCAGAGAGCTGAAGCCACACTGGGAGCTGCCCCACTGGGAAGCTGTGCACATTGGCCAGGACCAGGACCATCCAGCAGGCATGGACAGGAGTAGGCAGGTCTTGGTCTCATGCAGAGCACCTGAGGGACTGCTGCAGGCCACATTCAATCAGTTGGCAGGCTGGATCTGTCTGCCTGCAGGCTGCATTTTGCCCACCACCATGCTAGAAGCTCCTTGTGCAGCCACACTGGTCTCTTGCTATTTTTCTTGTGCTTTCATCATGTCGGGAGAGTTTCTTGTTGGGCTTCCAATACTGTTCCCTTAAGAAGCTCCCAGATTTTCTGGGCACCTTTATCCCTCAGTCTATCTTACCATGGCACTACGCCTATTAACTCCTTGAATCAGATGAATTCCACCTCCACTTCCTGATTTGGTGGCATATAATAAATCCCTACCATTACACTGGTTCTGCATCTTTCACCTTTCATCTTCACCCAAATGCATTCTGCCTTACTATCTTCTTCCTCCTGAACCAGGGAACAAATGGATGGATCCCATCTCTTGATAGCAGCCCTCCTCCCAGGAACTTCCACCCATTGTCAAAGAATCCAAAGTCTTCATCTTGACACCACCATCTCAGTCATGCATTCAGTTCTAGGATATGATGGTTCCTTGCCTTCCATGGGAAAAAAAAAAATCGGTGAGAACACTGCTTGTGCTCAAAGCTCCTTAAATCCTACTCCAAGCACCTCATAGTCACCTCTGATCTGCCCAGTATCATTCCTGGCAGTATCTCTGGTGCCTACATGGACAAGCAGGAAGGGTCCGAAAGATGGATCAACTTTGGCAGTCTCTCTGTGATGTCCTGAATTCAAGTTCCAGACAAGTAGCATACCTACTGGGCCCCCAAACCTGGACAACTAATTGGTGCCTCTGTCCTCCCCAGAAGGGAATCACTAACCACCACCACTCCTTCTTGGTGCAGTGGTCCTAGAGCCACTGTCCCTAGGGCCTTACATGTCTTGCTTTCTAGATTTCTGTTCTATGCATCATGCCTGCAGATGTCCTCTCCTCTGCCTTTTCGTCAGCAGTTCCACCACAGAGTGCTTGAAACTGGCTAGCTCCTTTCACTTCCCCTGTAAGCAAGGTTGATTTTTAACCAGAACAGCATTTTTCTCTTCGTTGTGAATTGTGGCTTTTTCGAGCATTTGTTAAAGTATTTTATAAATATTCACCAATTATCATTCACACTTCTTCTTTAAATTATTTTTGCAAACTGATCTGGCTTATAAATATTTTCGTCTTTATGAGATTAAAACCTTTGAAGCACAAGGTTCATGCATGTGGACCCAGGGCTCCCTCATGCACGATGGGGATGGGACCCTGTGCCAATAAAATGGCAAACCAGCCACAAAAATATTCCACATTTTATGTTACTGGTTTGCCATTTTATTGAACCATACATTGGCTGAACATGTGGCATGTTACAATATATAGCACAATTACCACATTAAGTGTCAAAAGTGTAATGTCTACCAGGGCCCAGCTTGAAGTCTCTCATTTTTTCCTTATGAATTAAGGAGTGGGTCATCTTGTTCTCTTGTGTGATTTGATAGACTTTAGCGGTCACCAACTACCACCCCATATTGTGCCTTCTCTGTTAGGACACGAAGACTACCTTACTCTGCTTAGGACACAGACCCATAATCATTCAAGATCATTTGCTTTCATACTGTCAATGACTCTAAAGCAGGCAATACCATTTTCAACATAGGGTGCCACTCTCCACCATTCCCTTGCCTTTTTCCTATTCAGACCTTCCCCAAATCACTGACTATAACCTATTTAACACTCCAGCCATGCAAAGTTTTTCACCAGGCTTCAGTAATAGCAACTACGTTGAATTTACTCTCACAATACCAATCCTTTGTCTTTATTATGCAGGTTCATAGCATTGGTGTATAGGGAACTAGCGAATTTCTTCACATCATATTCTTTGGTGCTTTAATTAATTTTGTTCACAGCATTTTGATTTTGTTCTAAATGAACGCTCATTTGGTTCCCCTTCTCACATCTTTTAATGTTAATGTGCTCTTGACTAGGATAGGCAGCCTGTTCACTAGAAGATTTGCCCCTTACTCCTTTGTAACTAAATCTTACACAGAATCCACAACAGATATTTCAGTCTTATCTGTCCTCCAGTCTATCTGTATTGTCACCACTCATATCTGCATTTAGTTCTTCATCCTCAATTCATTTGACTGAACACAGATTTATGCATAAGCCAAGCCCTATATCAAGCACCTGCCTAAAATGATAGAATTATATTCTACATAGTTGATTTTTTTTTACAGTCCACATGGTTGAAACTCAGTGGAGATTCAGCATCATAGTCTTTAAAAATAGACTTCCATATTCCAGCAAGAAGGTAAAGGAATAGCTACACAATACAATATCCATTGCAATATCCAGAGAACACACAACCTGTACCTAGCTTCAATGGCAGAGAGGGGTCAGGCAGGCAAGGTTCTTTGAGTAGATGCAAGTAGATGTGATTTGTCCTTAGACCAACATGGCTACAACCAAAAACCCAGAGAGGGGTCATAAATTGTAAAAACTTCTTCACGTGAAGATTCTTCCATTGAGCACTCCTTCTTCCACTGGCAACAACCTATGATAGCTATCTGCTGTATCATTACTTTGCATCTTCAGCTGCACTTTTCTGATTCCAAACTGATCCCAAACTCCTCACAATGACAGCCATTTAGCATAATTAGTCCCGTGGCTGCTCTGAGCTATTCCAGAGCCAGAACAGAACCTGGTCCCAAGATCCAGGGAACCCCAATTGGATCCATTACCTATTTTCATGCTAGCCCAGATACTGGGAATACTGGAAAAAGCCAAGAAAATGGGACTTTGTGTTACTATAACCCAGAAGAATAACCTGTTTCAACAAAAATTTTAAGCATAGTTTCTATCATTGACAACACCAAGAAGTTAACTGGCAAAGCATTGAAGACTCAAATAAATAAATAAATAATGATTATTGTGAATAGAAACTTGGATAGAAACTTATAATGACAGAAAACTTGACAGAAACGTATAAAATATACAGAAATGTGGTTTCAATCAGACCTGTGATCCTTCCAAATTGAATGTCTGAGCATTGTGACACAGCAACATGACATCCTTCTCCAAGTCGCCAAGGCTCCGGTATTTATGGTTACGGATTCTCTCCTATTGTGTTATTTATGAAAGTGGGGAGAGGAGGAAAGGGGAGGTGGACAGAGGAGAGACGAAAGAGAGAAACAAAAGATAGAGTCAGTTATCACTGTGCTGTAACACAGTAATATTCAAAACCTCTATTAAGAATGTCATCAACTTAATAGGAAGACAAAGACATCTGTCTTTGTTTTATAGATAAACCCATTACAAGGCACAGTTCTAAGGTACCTGACAGAAACACATAATGGCCAAATGCAGAGTAAAAGTTATACAATTGCTGCCTGAAGTGGAAAGGACAAAGGTAAAAGCAACTGCATTTCTGTGTATAAAAGAGTTCAACTCAAGATATCTGCAGCTCAGATGCAGAATGGGAATGAGGTGGGAACTTGTGGGAGTGTCGCAGGGCACTAAGGTACCTGCTCCTTTAAGAGTAGAAACTGCCTAGGGAGAGGGCCCTAAGAGCCAGACAGAAACCTCACAGGTGCAGGTTGTTATGGCAACAGGCTAACAAGGGAATTAGCCTGCACCCGCATCCGGTCAGCTGACCAGAAGAAGGCAGGGCCCTGGGTACGTATAAACCCCAGAGCTGAGACCAGCAGAGGTTAGTTCTCTGACAGCAGCCAGGGGAAGGAGCTTCCAGGGAAGAATTACCCAGAGATGCTGTGGCTGCCTGATAGGGCTAATGGGGCTCCAGGAGCTCACCAGGTACCCTGGCCTACAAGGCACTTAGTGCTGGGGGAGAAGTTTGACTCTTAAAGGGACAGAGCACACCCTGAACTGCTTGTGTTATGTTATAGCCCAGGGACTCATGTTTTGGTTGCTGTTTATAAACTGGTGGATCGGGCTGAGACTACTGGGGAAGGAGGAGGTCTCATTGGAGGGGACCGCTACAGTGTGGGGACCCCAGCACCAGGGGGTGCGGTGACAAAGGGGGTAAGCAGACCCCAGTGCCAGGGGACACTGTGACAAGGGCTGCGAAGAGCCCAGTGCCAGTGTGGGCACAGAGACAGGGCTGCAGAGAGCCTGGTGATGACAGGAGGCCGGGCTATAGCAAGGCCCCAGAGAGGCAATGTTTAATTACCACACCCCAAGCCTCACAGATGGTAAAGGGGTGGTTTTGGAGCCATGCATGTAGCCCATAAGGCTGAGGGTGTCCCATGAGGCAACCATTTTAAGCAGGACCTGAAAGGGGTCCAAGAACCCACAGGGTTCAGTAGGGCCCATCAGGACTGTGCCCAAACACAAACTCGAGGGCAGCCTCCCTATTTATTGTAATTACTAACAAGATGTGGCAGGTGAGGAAAAGGGTGCCTGTTGGGCAAGACTGGCACGGTCACGGAGCCCTACGGGTGTCACGGTCATCCCTGGGGACCCCATCCTGTGACAGAGTGCTAGAGGAATGATTAGTAGCTGGAGTCAGCATGGTTCCTTGTGGCTACCAAGGTTCAATGGCTTGTAGACACCACTTCCTAGTATCCAGTAGTAGCTGGATGACATCTGGCTGTTCTAAAACTTGATTCTGTTTTAGGAGGATGATTCTATTATGAGTTGTCCACATTTCTGCAAGCATAATTTCTGAATGAGAGGCTTGTTCACAGGTTTGAGACTTGGGCCTTTATGTACAAGACAACATATGATCTTTGGAAGAATGCTCTATGTCTGTCCTGTGAGTTGGCTTTCAGTAAGTTATTAACAGTGAAATAGTACATTACATATTAAATAAAATCCATGTAAGTACTATTTCTAAGCAACCTAACATCCACAAATCTGTAACATCCAAATAATGGATATATTTTTCTATTAGTTACAAAGATGACAGATAAAATGCCCATTCCAAATTAATATGCTGATAGCTAGAAAATGGTATATAGAGGTTTGCGTCTGGGAACTGGCTTGTAGGTACAGTAGATATTGCATTAGAACAATAGTCCAGGGGAATGGCAGGGGTTGAATGGTTTCTAAAAAGCCGGTTTGTGACAGTTTTCTTCAGAGTCCACTATGTCTGAAGCCAGCAGACACACAGGCTGTGAAATTGAAGACATGTAGCACACTGTTCCATAACATGAGATAAGGTGGCATTAGGTCACAGTGCCAAACTGCAGAGCCCTTGGGATTTTCAGCTTTGGTGAACAGACCAAATTAGCATGACTGGTAAACAACCAAGTTAAGGTGTGTGCATGTGATGGGTTTGTTGGAACAAAGAAATATGCTGACAGGACAGAACTTGGCCAGTATTATGACCACAGGGAAACCAATCAACGATGCCCAGAGATGAAGAGTCATCAGAGGGAGAAAAACTACAAAAGGAGGTATTTCAGAGTAGGAAAGGGTCCCTGAGAGGGGAACCTGAGGTCACCATGGGCAGAAAGCACACCACCAGCCTGTCTCACCCCCCCAACTCCCCTCCGGGGGAAAGTGGGCCTTGGCCTTTGACCTCCAGGCTGCTGACAACTGACATTCAAGAAAGAACCTCAGGGTGAAGCTTGCATACTGGACAGACATACTTTCCTTCCGTGACAAAATCAAAAATTGCCTATCATTGAGTAGAGAAGTCATGGTCAGTCTGAGGGTTTGGGTCTGCCCAGAACAAGGTATCTGGGTCATAAATCCAGTGTCAAAAGATGCCTACCTTTATTTTTTTGAAGTCCACTGGCTTCCTAATTAATTCATAATACTCTGGCAATTCTTTCCTAGATGGAAGCTGAATGAAGACTTCACTTAGCTGCCGTCCTGAACTGTTGAGGAAAAACAAAGACATAATACAAAGAATTACTATACCTTTGTCAAGAAACAGAATATATACAATCAGATCGTAAATCATAAAAAAAATCTTACTTTCAAGGGATTAAGAGGTGCATTCTTTGCTTTGAATTTATTTCACTTGATATAAACAATTAGCTTAAAATTTACTGACGACTCTTCGTGCGTTTGTCCTGTTACATCATTATCAGACATCAAGATCTAAAGATCTAGGACCAGGATTATTTCCCACCTATATTTTCTAATACTTTGTCCAATGTGCTGTTTTACCCTTTTCTTCATTTGATTATTCTTAACTCAGTTGTCTTGCACAGCCTTAAATTTCTCTCCCACCTAGTACTGTCTATAGTCCCTCTTCTTAGCTATTCATACAAAGCCCCACTGTGCCAAGTGCTAATCTAGATCACATTCACTGAATGTTACAGAAAATATCAATATTAACTTTCATTAATAAATGAGAAGAAAAGTTAGATTTCTGGGAAGGTAATTGCTAGAATTGCTCTCCTTTTCTGTTCTGAAAAAAATCAGTACTTCAATTTGAGTTTGTTCAGTCATCTGCAAATAATTGTTAGGCATTCAGTAATGTGTCATCTAATTCCCTTAATATTCTAAAATGCACGTTGCCTCAACTTGTTGATTTATAGGCGTCCAATTTTCCCTGTTTTCCTGATTTTTCTCTGATGTGATCTGATCAGTAACTATTTTAGCACCATTATTACTGCCGTTTTGCATAGTTATCTTGTCCTCCTCTTTATGGCTTCCCACTCAGTGGTTGAATTCAAGCGGTTAGGGGTGGAAGCATCTATTGATGACTATGTGGGCCAGGTCTCACACACTCATGGAAACAGAGAAGGCAATCTTCATTCTAAGCCTCTATTCCTGTAATATGTTAGTAGCTCCTGTGGCCAGCTCTATTAGTGACAGGTATATGAGTAATAAGAGAGGCCATCAAGGAGCTAACTAATACTTTATGTACAAAGGGCAACAGGCAAAGAAAAGAGCAAGGCAAAACCTTTCTCTATCTTTAGTGTGCTGGGCCCATGTTATCCTGGACTATAATGAGCTCACATTCACTGTGGCTTTAACTTTCTTGGTCAGCATTAACTCACTTGTGGGCGGTTTTTGTTCCAAGTTTCCATAAAATTTAACTGACATTGCAGCTCTAAGACTATAATTGTACCACTCCTTTTTAGGACTCACTGCTGCTGCTGGAAGTCTCCCAACCACCAGCAGACCCCTGCACTTAGACCTCTCCCTGATTCGGGACCCACCACTGCCACCATCTCTGGACTGCTTGCCACATCCGGACTATCCCAGACCCATCACAACCACCAGACTTTTCATCATTGCCGACCTGCTGCTACTGACACAGAAATCACAGTGTTTGTCTCCATGCCCTGGGCTGGATTAGCTCTTGAGGAGCCCCACAGTCCATATCTGGCCATGTTAGAATACTGGCAAAAAACATCCATTTTTCCAGTACTTAGAAACAAGGGCTTGACATTTTACACAGGTGTGGCCCTTGTGTCAGAGATGTGCCTTTTGTCACCCTTGTGAAAACCCATCCAATTTAGCTGAATTCTAAGCATCTGAAAAATCACAGTTCACAACTGTTCAGTAAACCTCAATCAAGGAACCAAAGTCTCTGAAGATAAAGCTCTCACTGATCATGCTCATGCTCATCACAGCTCTTAATGTTGACCATACTACAAATCTCCACAGAGCAACTAAGTGTGCTCAAGCCAAGGACCATTGCGGTTTAGAAGAACATTTTCTATGTTGATAGCTTCAGGCTGGATGCAAGATTAAGAGCAGAGAGCCTGTTTTGTATGTGTTCTCGATGGCCATCCTGCATGTAGGCAGCATGGAGAAGGAAGCTGTCTTATTCAAATACAGAGAATATAAAAGCTGGACTGGGGGAGAGGGAAAGGTGTAGGCTGAGAAAAGGAGTCTGGGGACAGGATGAAAAAATTTTTGATTAGGATTCTGAGAGGAAAGTTAGCATAAAGATAATAAGATCCAGGGGATTAGGCAAGTTGAGACTGGTTGGAACTGGGAGACACCTGGCTCTGGGAAACACTGAAATTGGAAAAGGAGCTGATGGAAGAGGACAGACAAAGACTTCTGGCAAGAAGACTGGGACAAGGCACTAGTGGGAGAAATGATATGGGGACAAGAGATAGGTATGACAAGGAAGACTGGGACAGAGCCAGAGAGGGAGATACTGAAACTGGAGTACTGAAATGGGAGTGACATAAAGGTTTCAACACTACTGATAACCAGGGACCTGGGTTTTCCATTTCCCATGGAAAAACAGAGAAAGCCATGTATTTCCCATTTTTATCAGAGAAAACGCGGATTTTCCCTTTTAGAAGAGAAACCCATGGATTTCCCCCTTTTGCAAAGAGCTCTGTAGGCTGGCAGAGTTTCAGCTTACAAGAGCTGTCTGCAAAAGGGGCAGGAAAACCCTCAACCCTGCCGGGAGGGGAAGGAAAAGGGGGAAGGGTGCGGCCCGAACTGGCACTTACTGGAGGCTGCTTCAGGCTCACTCTTCTTGCTGTGCTGGAGGTAAGTGGGGCTTGAGGGTTGCAGGGCAGGGTGGGGAAGCTGGCTAGGGGCTGAGGGAGC